GCTGATTTTGTTATCTTTTCTTTCAATGAGCTATTCATGCTTTCTTTTTTATATATCTGACTGGAGTTCTACTTTCAAGGGAAGTAGCGAATACATCTGAGACCTCGTGACCTCAGCGGCCTACAGACAGTAGATAGGCTGTGGAATATCCGTAATAGGTACATGGGTTTTATAGCATGTCACGATATTACTGTATGTGTAGGCTCTGCAAAGGCTGCAAGGAACATCTGTCGTATTCTGGATCTTAATACCGGAGGTCGTCACCTCTTTGATGGAGCGTAAAAGTGAAATGTTTTCCTGTGAAATGTTTTATAGGTTGTTGGTATCGGTGGCAGCAACAAATTTTAGACATGCTGATATATTGGGCGATATCACAGAACATCATTTTATCTGTTTGAAGGTTGCTCATCAAAAGTTAAAAAAATAAAAATTCTGAGATAGATATAAGAAATGAATATAAAGAATACATAGAGATAGATGGATGGGTAGATAGATACAGATAGATGGAGAGAGATACAGATAGATGGAGAGAGATACAGATAGATAGAGAGAGATACAGATAGATAGAGAGAGATACAGATAGATAGAGAGAGATACAGATAGATAGAGAGAGATACAGATAGATAGAGAGAGATACAGATAGATAGAGAGAGATATAGATAGAGATAGAGAGAGATACAGATACTGATAGACAGATACTGATAGACAGATACTGATAGACAGATACTGATAGACAGATACTGATAGACAGATACTGATAGACAGATACTGATAGACAGATAGGGAGGAGCAAGCATGTAAGATGTGAAAGTCACAAAAATACATTTTAATGCCTATTTGAAATGACAGAAATATATATGCAGTTGGCTAAACATTGTACTAACAGTCTCCATTTCCTGTTACAGCACCTGTGCAGGGTGTCAAAATATGACTGTGCAGGCCAATAGAAACCAGAATTGAACCCTGTGCACACAGTAATCAGCACTAAGTACCTCAGTAGGAGACCTGATCAGACACACCCCCTCTCTTCCTCAGCAATTCAAGTCCTTGTGAGGGAGGTGTGGCTGTTACTCAGCTCTGCCAGTGTAAAGCACTGGGGTAGAAGGGAAGGGAGAAACATAAACACTGCAATGATAACTCTATGTTCACTAGGAGCTCAATTGCAATACTATGCTTTAAAGAGACCCTGTCAGGTCGTAAAAGAATTGAAACCATCAGATCCCTCGAAGAGTAAAGCTATTGTACTCACCACGTTGGTGCCCCATGTGTCATACCTTCTTTGAAGCAGCATCCGTCAGTGTCTTTGGCATTCGACTGGGGTAATACAGATAAAAAGCTTTAATCTGATGACTACACTCCCACTATTTGTAGTCATGGTGCCACATGGACAGGAAGTGAGGGGAAATCTGCCCAATGGGGTCACCAAACAGGCATAAAAACCTGACAGAGATATTAACTCTTCTCTTCCTCTAGCTGAAATTAAAAATATAAGTTTTTTCTTTGCGTTAGGCGTTCAATAAGCAAAATATATACAAATGTGCATACATTCCCTTGAAGAGCCAGGCGGTGACCCTTATACCTGCTGGAGGTGTCTGTGCTTAGCTGGAGTATCTGAAAACCAAAACAAGAAAAAGAAAGAACTCTTCCGGGACGCAGTATGCATATCGTGCTGTCACATCTAAGTTTTCACTCCTCTTTGTCTCCCGTTTAATAGGAAAGGAATGTAATACACCCTGGTAAGTCCCTGGTGAGCATTCGACTATAATTAGAAACTATGGAGGTAATACAAGAGGCCCTTTGTCCAGAAGCATGTCAGGTTAATTTAATTAAAACTCCAAGCGCCTCTAACAAAAACTCGACGCTGCCGTGAGGTTCAAAGCGTTTAATCCCCGGAGATGGAATTTCTATTTGAGTGTTAATTTAGCGCTGCACCATCCAGCCGCTCATTAACGCTTTGAACGGTTTGCAAGTTAAACAGCAAACAGATTAGCCGGGTGGTGTTTTTGCATTATTTGACGACGATTATTTGCAGACAAGGTACACACCGGTGGCGAGGAGAGGAGGAGGCTCCGCCATGATAACACGCCGATGCATATTTATCGTCGGGTTGAAGTTGACCCCCCCAGAAAGATAACGTTAGTTGTCATGGAAACAAAGTTTACGATTTCAATAGTCCTTTGGCGTAACGTTGGGATACGGCTATGTTTTTAATTAATATTATAGTCTTATCAATGCGTGCTAATGTTTGAAAACATGTCTTTTCAATGTGATAGAAATTGATTCATGTGCTTTGCAGTATATGCGATTTCTTTTATTGGCTCACTTAAAACCCAACTCTAGGATACATTTCACCCTCCACCCACCCCACCCCCCAAAAAAACCCTTTCTAAAAGCTTTCTTTAAGGGCTTGTTCTCACCAAATCCGGACCCAATCTTCATGATTATCTGCACATGCAGTGCAATGTGTTTTGCCGCGTTTTTGCCATGTTCCAGGCCGTTTAAAAAATGTATTTGATTTTTTAAGCCTAAAATGGGCTTCCACTGCATTCCAGAGCGTTTGCATGAGTTTTTGATGCGTTTTCATGCATTTGCGTGCATTGCAGAGCAGAAACAAATAGGGCATCCTGCAGTTTTTCCACATGCTCTGGAACTGAACGCTGTGGTGTGAACTAGAGCCCAAAATACCATTGGAATACATTGGATGCATTTTTGATGCGTCCTGTAACTGCTCTGCATCTGCTCCGCTCTTGGTGCGAACAAACCCTTACTTACTGTAAGCCGCAGTCACATGATGCCTCAGCCCCAGTCTTCTCCCCTTCTGTGTACGTGCTGCTTGGGTCCTTCTTTAAGTGTCCACGTCAGCGCCAGTAATAACAGGCTTGCTATGGCACCTGCCCACTGCCTGCTGTCAAGGCGCTGATGTGGACACCGGTAGATGAATTTGGAGCAACCACCACCACTTCATCCTCAGTGCAGCTCAATAATGCTGAGCCTGTTAAAATCATAGGCACAGCATTACTGACCTCCCTGAATGGGAATAAGGCTCCGCCCCCGCTGTCAGCATCACTGGTCGTTGAGGACGCTGTCGGGTGTAGCCCACAGCTTCCTTAACAGCTGTTGATGCCCACTGTCAGTGACACTGTCAGTGACCAGAGCCTGATGGGGAATTCAGAGAACTGAGTTTCCCTATTATGTCTGTTCTGCTGCTGATGGACAGCACGCAGTGGGCGGCTGTTATAGCCAATAGCAGACTGGCTATGGCACTCACCCACTGCCTGCTGTAAAATTGCAGCAGAGTAGACCTAATGGGAAACTCAGTTCTCTGAATTTCACATCAAGCTCCACCCACCCATCGTATATGTTCTTGACCGCTGTACCTGTTTGTGTGACAGGCACAGCAGCCAGGCAGGGACGTCAGTAATTTTTATCTGTGATTTTATCAGGCTCAGCGTTAGTGAGCTGCACTGAGGATGAAGTGGCTTTGGTTGTGACAAATTAATCTACCTATTTGCGATGAATCTTGTGGAAGCACCGACATTTGCCATGTGTATGTGCAATGGAGTTCTAAAGTGTATCGCAGACATTCTTTAAATATTCCAGTGATTGTGTTAAAAGTCACTTTAGCATATTTTTTACTGAAAAAGAAAAATGTGCTGAGCTCTGCATACATACGCAGCAGCAAAAAAAGCGTTCCCAGCAAAAAAAAGTGCATTGCACAAAATAGTGCAGGAGCCTTTTTGCTGTGTGTATATGAGCTCGTTGAAATCAATGGGGCCGCGCAGCAAACGCGGTGCGCAAATGTGCATGAACGCGTGTTCCCGGGACCTGCAGGTGTAAACCAGGCATAGGGCTGTTCTCTTATTCGGTCAAAACAATCTCCATACACCTGGGGATACCCGTTCCCTAACATTGGCTACACACATTACAATCAAATCAAAGCCCTTGCATTACAAGGCCTCTTGGCATAGCACCCTCCCTATGTTCAGTGCATGTGGCCTGGTATGGTTTAGGAGGGGGCTCAAGCATGCTGTCCTTCCTTTTCCTGGCTAGCCAACTTGCAGGGATTTTGTTTGGTTGGGTTTTTCTTCCATGGGTTTCCCCCCTTAAAATCCATACCAGATCCTTATCTAGACAGTTTGGGTGGCCAGGAAAGTGGGAGCTAAATTTCAATTAAGACTAAAGGTGGCCATACATTGTACGATTTTCATACGGTCTTTCAAGCGAAAATCGGACAGTTGATGGTACATCACCGATTTACATTTTTGATATTGCGATCGAAATTTTTCGATCGACCAGGGTGGAAAATTTTTCTCTGACCGAATGAAAATTGATGAATCAGTGGGGTTACGTTCATCAAAAATCTTAGCAAGAACACAGCACATGCGCAAAAGGAAATTATCTCTGTCGTTGGTCAATAATAATTGGTTGGTTAGTATAGCTAAGGAACGAATTCTGAAATCGACATTTGCCTACACTTGATGGGGTATTTGAGCTATAATCGAAGGGTTTGAGGCAGAAACAAACATTTCCGGCCGAAAATATACTAGTGTATGGCCACCTTTACCCTAGTGCCTCCAAAAACATGAACAGGTGAAGGCTGTAAATCGATCACTGCTTTCCACGCAACACAAGCTTCACTCATTGGCTCCTGCACATTCCCCTATGAACAGATCTGTCCAGACACAGCCCTGATCATTGACCATAGATATAAAAGGAGGATGGGAATGTGGTTGTATGCTGTACAGTTTCAATTTTATTTAACTATGAAAGCTCTCTCCAATACTGAGTTGTTTTTTTTGTCATTCCATAAAATATACTATATATATAAATATACCAAAGTTATTCCAAAAAATATACAATTTTGTGGGCTAAACCAACACATTAGGCTGCATGTATCCAGAGTGATTGTGTTTCTTTATCTTGCAGGTGAAGGCACACCTGTGCTGCCCTCCGGTTCTATAGGCAGGGGGCGCTGTGGCTCCTCTCAACCCTATTTCCAGAGCTTCAGAAGGATGAGGAAGAACAGACCTACCTGGGTGGAGTCACAGTGATGGATGGCGGAATCGGAGAAGTTAATGATGTCAGTTTAAATCACCCATACTATGACATTGCTCGCCATGGCATTATTCACGTACCCGGTAAGTTGCAGACAACAAGTGTGATATGGGTAGACGTGTGTGTGTGCACTAATAAGTAGAATAGACATTTTAGACTGCCTGGGGTGCAGTAGGAACATCATAAAGAGCAATGTGGCCCCATAGCAAAACTATTGAGGGGCCCCATCACTCTCTAATCTTCATCTCAAAAGCAATTACTCTAGTAGTACAGAATACAAATTGCTTTCATAACAGTTGTATAGAGCTCCCAAATGATAAATTAAATCCTTTTTACTTTTGCCACCTGCATAATTCACTTTGTAGCCAACAGCCTTGGGGCCTCCTATGCTTTCTGCCCTTAGGGTATAGACTCATTACTGCAGTTCCTTTTTGTGAAGCATCTGAATGAGCTTTAGGGTCAATTCACAGCAGTGGCTGTGCGTATGATGAGTTGTGCACACATGCTGTGATGCACTGTGACAACGCATTACAGTGTAATCCACAAAAACACTCACATTCCAAAACCAGTCTTTCAACCATGATTGCATGCCCAGGTGCAGATAAAAATCATGCCATTGTCTGTAGTAACACAATTCCGAAAATGCCGCACTCCCTGTGCTTAACTAGAATGCATCACAGTGCTTGCATTCTTTCTAATTTAATATTTTTTAATTTGGTCTGCCAATTATACTGTTGAAAGTGTTCCGTTATATATATGGAGTTGGGGAAGGGTTATGGAGATGAGGAGAGGGTTGTGAAGTTGAGGAGGGGATTATGAGGTTGAGGAGGGGATTATGAGGTTGAGGAGGGGATTATGAGGTTGAGGAGGGGGTTATGAGGTTGAGGAGGGGGTTATGAGGTTGAGGAGGGGGTTTATGGAGTTGAGGAGGGGGTTATGGAATTGAGGAGGGGGTTATGGAGATGAGAATAAGGGGATAAATGAAGGAGGGGGAAAGATGAGGGTAGGTCTCTATTCTTTCCAATTCATTAGAAATGAAGAAGGCAGAGATGGCAACATGTGCTTAGAAATGCAGAGCCAAGAATACATGGGTTGTCATGTCAAAGAGGAAGGTGGGGTCCCGTCGAAACCCTTTTTATGTCGGAGACCTGATATCTATGGATGGTGTCAAACCCTTCCAATACCTTCGCACCCACTGGAGTGCTCCGCTCAGAGAGAGCTTCCGATACCTACAACTCCAGAGTTACGTCGCATCTCTTCTTCGGCACTGCTTGGGTTCTCCGCGCAACCTTACCCCCTTTCGAAATCTCGCTGTTGGTCAGATCCTCACTCAGCAGGCCTGATAAACCATCTATATGCCTCACTGGTGCCGTCTGTTGGGGCTCAGAAACTCTCCTACATGCTAGCCTGGGAAAGTGATCTGGGAGACTCCCTAGACCCCCATACATGGACCGAGATATGGCTGGCTGCAACGAAGTGCTCACCGAATGTTTTGGCTCAAGAGAATGCTCATAAGGTCATGTTCCGATAGTACATGACCCCAGACAGGATATCCAAATTTGCTCCTTCCGCCTCACCCCGCTGCTTTCGGGGCTGCGTGGACAGGGGCACTCTATTTCATATCTGGTGGCAGTACCTATAAGCGCAGAGGCTGTGGATTAGGGTATATAACTTATTGAGATCAGTTTTCAATACATCCTTTGTACGTAACCCCTGGGAGGCACTTCTGGGTAGGCCGGTTACCCACATTTCCAGGAGGGAAAGGAAATTGGGTAACTTAATTTTTTTGGCAACTAGACAGACTATTGCCAGAGCTTGGAAATAACCTACGCTGCTTATTTCGGAAGTTAGGCAACGGGTCATGGGTATCATGGTACATGAGACGCTCACGGCAATTTTGCATGACTCTTACGCCTCTTTTCGGAAAACGTGGTCACCCTGGCTGGACTATGTCCAACCAATGGAAATGGATCGCGACTTATTGGCCCTCTGACTGGGATTTGTTTTGTCGGAGTGATGAAGTCCCCCTCGACTCCCTTCGCAACCCCCTCTCTCTTTGTTTGTCTCCTTCTCTTATTCTTTCCCTTTTTCCTCTTTCACTTACCTCTAGGTTCCTCTGGTGTTTTCTAGAGCCTGCCGTACGTATTATAGACTGACTGCATGGCGTATAGTCTATAGCTCTTGCTCCCTTACTTATATGGTCTCTCTGGCGTCCTGCAGCAGCAGGTCGTTGGAGACGCCACTTCAGGTCCCAAGAAGACCGGTTTGCCTGCAGAATCAGTGCACTTATCACTTTGGTGCCTCTTGTTTGGTATCACTGATTCTGGAGGCTTTTGTTGTTTTTGTCTTGTTTTTATTTCTGTTTCAAGTTGCTGATTCCAAGATTCCAAGGCGTAGCCATCAATAAAATCCTGTGAACGGAATTCTGTCCTGGTAATCACACAGGAAGTAACGTCACCTTTCCTCACTTTCCAGTTAATTAACATTGGCAACAAGTTCTATTTTTGGTCTCCGGGTCACAGCCAGATAGAAGCCTTAACAGGAAGTGCCCGCTGGGGACAAATGCAGTTATAAAATTACAGTGGCTCTATCCCTTCCCCACTCTATTGGCTGGAGTTTTGCTTTAAAGAAAGCAGCAGAGCGCCTGTGTGTTATGTGGATGTAAATGTAAAGGAACACATTGGGCGTCAGTCTTGTTTTGTCATGTGACCTTTTTGGCATTCCTTCCACATTGCAGCCCGGTCTCAGATCCTGAACTCCGGGAGATGTTTGTGCTGTATCTTACCGGATTAGCCAATTCTTAAATATAATATAATTCAAACAAACATTCCGGGTCTGGTAATGGCTTTTTAAGCTAATTAGATTTTTGGAATTGAACAGATCAAAGCTCTGCAGCATGCATCTCATTTCAGCGGAGGGACTGATTTATTGCGGCAAGTCACACTAAGGTAAATAGTTATTTGAAGAAACTTTTATAGTGTATTATCGGTGAGCGCAGATTCCTTGTTTACCTTCAAGTGAATGCATGGTGTTGTTTCTTAATTTATGTTAGGCACTACATTTTGTTTTCTATTTTATTTCCCTTTTAGTCAGGATAACATAAAATCTGTTTTGTGTGTATACACTTGTAGCCAGCGGATGGCGAACTAGACCCCACTCTCTGCCACATCTGCTTAGTCACTTTACTGCTATGCTGTGAATGCCTTCAGCAATTTAATCTGCTTGAATAGCTCTTTAGGATCCATTCACAGATCTATTCTTCTTCAAGTCATACATTTGGGTCAATGACAGTCCCAGCTGCCTGAGGTGCAACACACAATCAGATCATCTGTCAATCCATTTGCTTCGATACCTCAATAGCATCTATGTGAAAGCATGAAAGGGCAATGGCTCATTTGCTTTATAATAACTTTTTATTATGAAACAATCGCAATTTGAAAAAAAAAACATGAAAAATTATGCACCCCCTGAAAGAATATATATATTCTTATAAATTACACAACAAAAATCTTTTGACTGTCTTCTCATTCCCATACAAACCATCATGAGCACTCATAAACAAAAAGCTTCCAAGAAACCTAACAGTCCGGATGTCTGATTCCAGAATTTCTTTGTCTTCTAGGTGATGATAACTCGGGTCGGACAGTAATTACATTCAGCTGTTGTCGCTTGCCGCCGTGCCATGAGATTGATCACGTCCGTCTTCTAGAGTATGTGGCACAGCTAATCCAACCTCTACATAGTAATACTTGTTTGAGTTTCAATCAGTGTGACCATATTGAATTAGGTCCTAAAATGGTATTAAAGGCACAAAAAATTGCTTCCTTAGTTACCTCTTCTCCCCTAGTCGGCTGATTGGACATTGAGGGGCAACAGCCCATGAGTTAGGTTGCACTTTTGCTCTTCTGTAAATATATTCGCAGTATTAGAGCACTGTGCGAAGGATTTGAGCTATTATTATTTTATATATGAATATAAATTTATATATATATATTTATTTATTTTTCCTTTTATACTTTTCTTTGGTAAATGTTGTGATTACGTCCTATCTCTGCCTAAGAGAAACAGAGATTTTTCTTCACTTCCTATCCCTGTAATGCCATGACAAGAAATGGGAAGTGTGGTTGTCACCAAGACAGGAAGGCACAGACAGAAATAAAAACCTTGTCAGAAGTGCTAACTAGGGATGCACCAATACTGATATTAGTATCGGTGCCGATACTGAGTATTTGGCCGAGTCTTCGTACTCGCCCAAATGCTCTGATACCTTCCCTGATACCGGAACTTCCTCTGGAAGATTTCCTCTGACCGGCAGTGCCGTAGGGGAACATGGAGCTGGCTTCCCGGGCAATCAGGAAGCTAAGCGGCGAATATTGACTCACCCCCCGGCTTCCTGATTGTCTGGGAAGCCATCTCCTTTCCGATTGGAAGACATGCCAGATATGCATTTCAATCACCCCAAACGCCCATATACTGCATATGATATTATGCTGCTCCCGCTTGATCCTCGACTAATTAAGCGACTAGGGCTAGGAGAAATAGACATGCTTCCTACGTTTGTACCTGTACGGCACCTTTAATCGAATGTATGTGTGTTATATGTTTACTGTAAATTGTTTGCTCAAAAAAAAAAATTAAGAATAAAAAAAAAAAACCAAAAAAAACAATTGAGCCAGCCAAACAACATGGAGCCGGCTTCCCGGGCAACCAGGAAGCCAGGCAGGATGTCATTACCTGCCGCCCGGCTTTCTGATTGCCTGGGAAGCCGGTTCCGTGCCAGCAGAAGCACCAGTATCGGTACTCAATATCAGTGAGTTCCAAAAGCAAAATACCAGTACTGGATACCGAAAAACCATAATGGGTGCATCCCTAGTTCTAACCCTTCCTCACTGTGATAAAAATGTCTTGTTGGTGCTCTCTTTGGAGAGATTTCCCATGGCTTTTTGTTGTAATAGGAAGTGAGTCTAAATGTCCTCAGATGGCAATAAAAATCTGACCGGTACAAGCCCTTCCCCCAGCTCCCCCAAAACAGAATAAAAAATTGGCCGGCGTTTGGCTTTAAGCGACCTTCACATTAAAAAGTAATTGGTTAATCTCAAGGAAGTTCTATACAGATTGTACAATCGTATTGTAACTGGTGACCAGCTCAGGTTCACACACTTTAAAGAGAGGCTAACCTGCTGCTTGTCTCAAGTATGTGAGCTTTTTAAAGGGGCCTCTGTCACCAACCTAAAAAATTGCAGGTAAATAAACAAAATCATTCAAGTATTTTAAAAGTTTGATGCAGTGTTTCGCTTTCCATAAGTGACATTTTATTCACTTGCAATGTGCAACTTGCTAGAAAATGTAACTATTCCAGGAGAGTCAGCTCCCTAGCATAGCCCGTTACCTCCTTGTGTGTCATAGCCCTCTCCTCTTCTGGGAGTGTCTAATTATAGTCTGTGCTGGCCCAACTCCTTCTCTCCTCCCCCCTACCTCCCAACATAACCTTATATGTAGCTGCCAGGGGAGGAGCAAAGGGAAATACTATAGAGTGTCCCATGAGTGACAGCTCTTTGTCTGCTGACATCACATCCAAGATGGTGGCACCCAGCAGAAGTCTCAGGGCTTTTGGATGTTCATACAAGAAAGGATTTTACAGGTTAATAACATGAGTAAAATATATTAAATTCACATTTATTCTCATGGAAAGATTGCTGTTGAAACAAATAGTCAACAGGGTTTCTTTTACTGCCCGAAGCCCCTCCTCACAGCTCAGCTCTATGTTGTGACCAGAGTACAAACAATACAAATAAATCCGAATACATTTACCGATAATGCCCCTGAATGGAAATACACCTTTCACAATTCATTACTCTGCATGAAAAAACTTGGGACGTAAGTGAATTTACTCATCTTTATCCACCCCGTGGTGGGAATTTACCATTTATATAAAATTTCAACTTTCTCCTTTCTCTTCAATAAATATTCAAATTGTGCAGTTCATATTTATTTCTAAAAAAGATCGACCCGTGGGTCAGAGAGACGTTTTATGAGTTCTGACTCTTCCTGGGAAAGCCTGAATCTGCTTTACTATATAGCCCAAGGCTGCAGGTAGAAAACCTATTTGTCCCAGCGACTTCCACATTCACTAATGTCACATTGCGGGCTATTGATGGAAACTTTCTCTGCGAGAGCTCGAACGTTTGAAGTTGCTGCTGTCTTCACCTGTTTTCTGCAAATTGAACACGAGGGAATTGACAACTAATGACTGAACTGCGTTTAAAAAGAAAATCCCCTTGATTTTCTTAGAAGTTACAGATTCCATCTGGTAATGACGCATCTAATAAGTATGTTTTGGGCGACATCAGTCATGGTGTCAATTAAGGGCGACTTGTAATAACTTGTACAGAGGCTGCAGGCAACACAACATCTACTTAATTAGTAGATATTTATAGACTGGAACGTTTAGGAAAGAAATTGGAATAAAAAATAAGGTTTGATCAGGCTAAAGAGGAACCATTAAGTGATTTTACCGCGCACACATTTCACTTATTATTCCAATATACAGTATGTAGAATCAGTTCTGAGGAGACTTCCACATCCTGCTTGTTATTCCACATTTTCACTCTACTTCATTCAGATTTGTAGACTCTCCCTCCTTTTCTCTCTATCTTCTCTCCTCTCTCGCGCACAGCGACTTTCTTGTCTCTCCCTCTCTCTTTTTTCTTTCTCTCTCTCTTTCTTTTGTTATTTCTTTTTTGTTCTCTGTCTCTCTTTCCTTCTTTCTCTCTCACTTTGTCTTTCTTTCTCTCTCACTTTCCTTGTCTCTTGCTTTTGTTCTCTCTCTTTTGTTCTCTCTCTCTCTCATTCTCTCCCTCGTTCGTTCTCTCTCTCTTTTTCTGTCTCTTCATTCTCTCTCTTGCTCTTTCGTCCTCTCTCTCTCTCTTCCGTTCTGTTTTTCTTCCTCCTTCTCTTCTTCCCTCTATTGCGCATTCTCTCTCTCTCTCTCTCTCTCTCTTTTTGTTCTCTCTCTCTCTTTTTTGTTTTCTCTCTTTGTTTTCTCTCTCTCTTTTTGTTTTCCCTCTCCCTCTCTTTTTGTTTTCTCTCTCTCTCTCCCTCTCTTTTTGTTTTCTCTCTCTCCCTCTCTTTTTGTTTTCTCTCTCTCCCTCTCTTTTTGTTCTCTCTCTCCCTCTCTTTTTGTTTTCTCTCTCTCTCCCTGTCTTTTTGTTTTCTCTCTCTCCTTCTCTTTTTGTTTTCTCTCTCTCTCTCTCTCTCCCTCTCTTTTTGTTCTCTCTCTCTCTCTCTCTCTCTTTTTGTTTTCTCTCTCTCTCTCTCTTCCTCCTTCTCTGTTGTGCTCTCTCTCCTCCTTTCATCTCTACCTCCTTCTCGTTCTCTCTTTCCCTCCCTCTCGTTCTCTATCTCCCTCCCTCTCTTCTTTCATCTCTACTCCCTCTCTTTTGTTTTCTCTCGCTCTTTTGTTTTTTTCGCTCTCTTTTGTTTTCTTTTTCTTCCTCCCTCTGTTGTGCCCCTCCCTCCCCAGAACGAAGGGAGAAGTTTTGTGAGTGACTGCGGTGCGTTCCAGCAGCTATCGCTCTGGAACGCACTGCAAAGCCTCCTGAAAGCAACATGTTGTATAATTTTTTCTGCACCACAATGTGATATGATGCAACTGGACATGTGGGTACTGCACTCCCCACTGACCATTGAATGTTGCCGGATTTGGAGCTTTAAAAACTTAGGTCTACCTCCTTGTTTTGCTGGACATGGGAATGAGGCCTTATGGCCTTTATATGACTTTACTGACCCATGTACTTGTTAGAGTGAATTATATTTTTAAGCAAACGTAAGGCTAGAAGGGATCCGCTATGGCTGTTTTGCTTTTAAAAGTAACGATTCTGCAGCTGGTATTATGATTCAGACTTCATTGGCTGCATGCTTGTTTTAGGTTAGGAATAGGGATGAGCTGAACATACAGTATCTGGGTTCAATTCTCAACATAGTCGCTGAACTGTGCCAAACATTAATGCAAACCCTATCGATTTTATTAATCAATTCTGGCCAATTTTAAGGCTGGATTTTCGAGCAAAAGTCATGGGGAGCTGGGTACTTCCCTGCGGGACATGTTTAAATGCAAAAAATATTTTTTTTACAATTCTATTCAGCAGGGAGCCGCTCTTTTAATAATGCGAAAAATGCAAAATTCCTTTAAATAACTTGCTTGGGGGATACCCTAACACCTGCCTGTGAAGTGGCGCATCTGTAGGATGTGCGGGATGCAATGCAGCAAAGTTGACATTTTGTGAAAGAAAAAAATGCCATTTGTGGTAAATGACATTTTGCTGCTGGCTTGTTTTTTTCATCAGCAGACCCTCATCAGGGTCTGTTATAGATTCAGAAAAATATAATTTGCCACAAATGACATTTTTTTTTCTTTCATAAAATGTCATGGGCAAAACAAAAGCAATGAAACCATGTAAAGTTCTCCCTCCAAATCAATAGGAGACACTCATGCTTGATTA